CGAGAAATCGCCCCCAGGGGAATGACCACACTACGGTCCTTTCTCCTCCATTCTCCTCCCAGGATTTTGGGCATGCACACACATGTGCCCAGTGTGATTTTCAAGCCACCAGGTCTGGGACTTGAACTGCAGAGTTGGCCGTATGGTGTTCAGCCCCCTGTTGGCCCTCCCTCCCACTCCATGACTGGCTCGGAGCATCGTGGGGCAGTACGAGGGCATTGCTGGTTGGAACCATGGGGTGAAGGTGGGGAAGCCCTGTGGTAAGGAGGAACTGGCATCTAGCAGGGCCCACTCACACTGTTCTGAGAACTGGTCCCTGCTGTCTGGGCAATGGTCCCCGACCTTAAACCCACAGATTAGATAGACTGGATCCAAACCCTGGGTCCTCTGTGTGACACAGGCGGTAACAGCCCCTCCCTGAGTCTCCATATTCTTTCTTTCTTTCTTTCTTTTTCTCTTTTTTCTCTAGTTTTGCTAGGGCACATGCACTCGCTGCAGAAACAGGTTGAGACAGAGAGAAGGGAAGTGAGAAAGCACGCCCCAGGGGGATGGCCTTGCTACAATCCCTTCTCTCCACGGGTCTGTATATTTTTATCAATAGAATGGAAGCAATGTGGGGGCCAGCAGGTGGTGTGGTGGTTAAACGTGCTGGATTCCCACATGGCCGATCATGGTTTGAGTCCTGGACCTGGAAGCTTGCTTTCTCACTTTCTCTTTCTCTCCATCTGATTAAATTGAAAAATAATAATAACAACAAATGGAATTATTTTAAAAAGAATGGAAATACTGAGATTCAATCGATAGCTTTTTTTGTTTGTTTTGTTTTGTTTTAAGTTCATCCCTGTTTTCTTTCGTGAGCATGAGAGACAGTATTCCCAACAGGGCCCCCACAGCCTCAGCCACCCATCAAGCATAGGCATGACATGGTCACCAGACACGAGCCCAGAACCCTTTCGCCTGCGACAGCCAGCGTGGTGCTGCGCTCCTGGCGGTGGCTCTTCCAGTGTGGTACCCAGCGCGGCCGCCCAGTACCATGTGAGACCGTGAGGAAGCGCACGTTCTAGCCGGCCCTCAGGTGGCTCTGACGCTGCCGAAGTCTGGGAACAGCTGCGTTGGGGCGTCCACCCCGCCGCGCATTGCAACCGTTACAGGAGAGACTCCTCCACGTGTTCCGCTCCACAACCTGCACTGCTGCGCCCTGCCAGCCCCGCCCCTCCTTGGCCTCACCTGATTGGCCAGGAGGATTTTTTGTTCTGGGGGCAGGTGTCAGTCAGGTCCTCTCTCCTGGGACCTGGGACCTGGAGACGTCAGGCTCTGTATCTCTTCCCTGACAGAGAGGGACTCACTCGGGGGCTAAGGTATGATTTGGGGGCACACACGTCTGGGTCCGTGTCACTGACTGGGCTGTCCCACCTGTTTCTGGGCTCTCCTGAGAAGTCCCTCCTTTGCTCTTAGGTTGGTTGAGGGAACTTCTGTCACATGCAACTAAAGGGCTCTGGTGGGCCAGCACATGGTGTGGTGGTTAAGGTGCTAGACTCCCACATAGCTGACCATGGTTCGAGTCCCAGACCAGGTGGCTTGAAACTTATGCCAGATGCGTGTGCATGCACACCCAAAACCCCAAGAGAAAAATGGAGGAGAAGGGATTGCAGGGTGGCCATCCCCCTGGAGGGAAATTTCTTGCTTTCTGTCTCTCTATCTCTCTGTCTCTCCAGCGAGGGCATGTACCCTATACATCTTTAAAAATAAAATAAAAAATAAAAGGGCTCTGGCATGTTGAGGGCTGGGGGTCAGGTCACGGTGGGTGCACGAAGGTCCAGGCTCCCTGGCCTGAGGGACGCCACCTCCTTCCTTTCCCAGCCTAACTGTGAGCCCCGTGGGAGGATCGGCGTCCTGTTCACATCCCCGTTCCCGCTGAGAGGGGCACGGGAACGGGAAGGCACCAGAGCAGCCACAGAACAGGCAAGTCTGGAGACCATCTGAGGTCGCCTGTGGTCTGCCATGCTGTTCTGGGTCCTGGTTCCTCACCGGCCTCCCAAAACACTCTAGAGAACCCTCCCCATTGGTCAGGAAAGGCTGCAGGAGAGGTGAAGTGCTTACCTTTACTGATGTCGGCTCAGAGCAAGGACGCTTGGGCTGGGCAGGCAGAGTCCTTGGTTGCAGGCAGACCCGAGCTGGTGGGAGGTCACTAAAAGGGCACCGCTAGAAGGGCCTGCCTGGGGCATCTGGTGGAAGATATGCAGCAGGGTCAGGGTTTATGGGTCAAGGGTCTTGCAGGAGAGCCAGGTGGCCTGAGGTAGCTCCTGAGATGAGCGGGCACGAGTGGGGAACTCTGACTGGCTCTGACTGACTTGCTGAGGACCTGGCAGCGAGATGGGGTGCCCTGTGCAGCCCGACTCCAGCAGCCTGGTCTGCCGGGTGAGCGGTAGCCCTACAAGGACAGACCTAACTTCGGCCTTGAGCTCCTGAGGTCCGAATGAGAGGCTGGGGGCTCTGCCTGGGGCCTGAAGAAGGGATTTCAAGGATTGGAAGTCAGGAAGTAGTTCCTAAACTACAGGCTTAAGAACTTTGAGACAGAGACCAGCAGATGGCATAATGGTTACATTGTTGGGCTCCCATGTAGTTGACCGCAGTTTGAGTCCTGAACCTGGCCACTTAAAACTCATGTCAGGTGCATGTGTGCATGCCCAAGATCCCAGGAGGAGAATGGGTTGTGGCATGGCCATCCTCCCCCCGGGGGAGTGATTTCTCACTTTCTCACTCTCTGTTGAGTGCACATATTCTATAGCAAAAATCTCTGTCTCTGGTGAGCACACACTCTATAGCAAAAATCTCTGTGTGTCTTTTTTCTTTTTTTTTAGAGAGAGATTTTCTATAGGGCATGTATGCTTGCAAGAGAGACAAAGAGAGACAGAAAGTGAGAAATCATCCCCACCCCCCGGGGGAATGGCCACACCACAATTCTTCTCTATTCTCTCAGGATCTTGAGCACACACGCACAAGCACCTCATGCGAGTTTAAAGTTTCTGGGTCTGGGATTCGAACTGCGGTTTCATATGTGGGAGTCCAGCACCGTAACCATTAGGCCATCTGCTGGTTCTGCAAAAATCTCTTAAAAAACCTTTGAGACAAACAGAGGCAGGACCCCACCTAGGCCGTTACCTGTCAGCTGTGTGACCCTGGGGAAATTGCTTGAGCCTCGGATTTCTTGTCTGTGGCATGAGGACGATACTATGTACCTCTTAGGGCTTGTGGCAGGGATTAAATACGCTCATGTATATAAAGCACTAGACACATAACTCAGCTATAGCGCCATTGTTCTTACTGAAACTGTCGTTACCTGGCTCAAAGGCCAGAAAGGCAGTTTGTATTGAAGGGGTTGAGGGACAGAAAGAAGGATCAGTCCCTGGAGAAAAGATTCCAGGTCTCAGTTAAAGGGTCTGAGGTTGGGGCAGGTAATCCAAGTCCCACCGGGAGACCTAGGAGGGGCAGAAGAAGACGAGCCCTATGAATGGAGCCGGGAGGATGGGCCAGCCAAGCAGGAGGTGAGGCCCTTTGAGACAGCTCAACGCCTTAAGCCCCTCCCACCTCCGGCCAGGATTGGTTGAGGGTCTTGATGGGGTGGGACTAGAAGAAGGGGCTACTGAGGGCAGGAGCCGGGCAGGAAGCCCATGTGGGTCCTGCTCCTGTGGTCTCAACCAATCGGGCAGCGAGTGTTCCTTGAGCGGCAGCTGTGAGGCTTGGGCTCTGTCGGGGTTCAGAGAAGAGCAGGGCGAATTGCTCACAGTCTAACGGGAGAAGGTGGGCGAGACTGACAGCCCAAATGCAGGCTGTGCATACTCAGAGCTGAACCAATGAGAAGTGAGTCGGGACAGTCAGGTACATGAGGGCTGCCACCGGCTGGCTTCCAGGAGGAGGTGTTGAATGAGGCTCTAAAGATAGGCAGGCGGAGAGGAAGGCTCCCAGCTGGATAGGCAGTGGAAGCACCTGAGGTGGCAGGCATGTGGACGGGGTCCAGTATAGGGAACAGGAAGGCCAGGCTCTTGGGCTGGGACTATATCTAGGGGACAGTGGGGAGCCACTGAAGGCTATTGAGCAGGGGAGTGCCATTTGTTCTTTTTCTTTCTTTCTTTTTTCTTTCTTTCTTTTTCTTTTTAAAGAATTAGTTTATTTAACTTTGTTTATTTAATTTAATTTGACCCGAGTGAGAGAGAAAGGGAAAGTGAGCTTGAACCGCAGTCAGCCATGTGGGAGTGCAGCACCCTTAACCACCATGCCACCTGCCAGCCTTGCCATTTGTTCTAACTGAATGACTGAGCATGTGCTTGGCTGGGCAGGTGTTGGGGGCGGGGAGCGTGTGGGAAGACGCAAAGGGGGACATCCCTGTCCCAAGGTCAGTTAAGGCCTTGGTGGAGCTCCTTTGCTCCCTTGATTGGGATGATGTGAAGGTACACGTCCCTTTAGGGGCTCGCACAGACACATGGCCTCATAAAGGGGTTTCAGGTCAAAGGTGGCAGACCTGCCCTCGTACCCCTGTCCTTCCCTCTGACTCTGTTTCTCCTCTGTCAACTGGGCGTGATGCAGCCTGTCCCCAAGGGGGAGCTTGAGAGCCAAGGAGAGCATGGGGAAGGTCCGGCCAGTGTCTGGAGCAGTGGGTGCTCCCTCCTGGCCTCCCGCTGTGCTCTGGGCACAGAGCAGGGCCCAGCCAGCGCCCGGCCTTCTGGTCACCCTCAGGCAGATGGGTTTTCTGCTCTAGGTGGTCGTAAGTGCATCCGTTCTTCGACGGGCATTTCTGAACACCTACTGTGTGCTGGGCGCCGAGATACGGAACTGAAGTAGACACTGCCCCTTGGCCTCGAAGAGTTTATTTGTCCGTTCATGTGGCAACATTCACAGAGCTCTGCTGTGTGCTTCGGACAGGGCGGGGTGGGGGAGCGGGGCGCAGGGAGGGGTGCCGACGGGGCGGGGTGGGAGGGAGTGGACGGGCTCAGCCCCACGGGTCACGCCTCTACGTCCGGGAAGAGCAGGAACCCGGAGAAGATGCTGTTGGCGCCCTCCATGCCCACCAGGGAGTTCCTGTCGGTGGCCTGCAGGAAGACGGTCTCCCCCAGCTCCAGCTTGAGCACCACGCCACCCGTGGTGACCTGGTAGACATTGGTGACGTAGTCGCAGAAAGTGAGCACCTTCTGCGGGCTCTCCCGGCCCCGGAGGAGGTTGATGCACAGGTTCCCGCGGGAGCTGACGTGGTAGGTGAAGTAGTAGAGTCCGGGCACCCTGCAGGTGAACTTGCCGCTGCGGGGCTCGTAGTTGTTGTTGGTGTTGGTGATGAGCTGTTCAAAGCGGATGGGCTGGTCCCGGCGCGGGGCATTGTGGGTGGTCCTCTTGGCGGAGAAGGCGACCTTCTGTGTGGCCTTGTAGTCTCCCGACTCACCCTTGGGGCCTGGGGCTCCAGGGAGCCCTGGGGAACCTTTAGGGCCAGCTGGGCCCTTGGGGCCAACTTTTCCTGGATTCCCAGGAATCCCTGGGTTTCCCTTCTCTCCGAACTCGCCGTGGTCTCCGGCTAGCCCTGGTAGCCCTGGAACAACAGAGAGGAGAAATAGGGAGCCCAGAGGTCGCTGAGACCAAAGGCTGGGGCCAAGGGTTGGGACCTTGGGCAGTTCCCTGCCCTCTCTGGGCCCCAGCTTCCCATCCTTAGAAAGAAAGGTGGTGGGTGTGAGAAGGCCTCTGCGTCTCCATCCAGGTCTGAGTCTGACGTGTTTCATAATGGGGACGCACACCTGGGAGAGGAGTGGCACCCCGGCCCCAGCACGCGCGGGGTCCTTGCTCAGGCTTAGGCCCAGGGCGGGGACAGGGAACCCCTGGCACGCACGCTGTCCCTCTCCCCTCTCTGGCCCACGGCAGGACTCTGCCTGTCAATGTAGCCGCCATTCCAAGCAGCCACCACCCGTGGTTTGGCAGGACACAGGGTCAAGCCTGTTCCAGTAGAGGAGGGGATGGTGCCCGAGAACACGGGTCCCAGGGAGGGGGACACATGTGCTTCTCATGTCACATCTGCCGTTTCCAGCTGTGTCACCCTGATCGAGTCACGTCCTCTGAGGCGCAGCTTCCTCATCTGTGAAGTGGGGACAGTAGTCTGTGAGATCACAAGGCTTACGTGAGACTATCTGAGGACCGTGGCCAGCACGGAGGGTCACGCCATAACTGTAGGCCAAGTGAGCGGATAAACTACATTTCACAGAGTTTCACAGTGGGGAGTCTCACTGGAACCCCAAGGCGACCCCATGGAAGTATCACTGTGTCCGTTTTACAGATGAGGGCACTGCAGTTCGGAGAGGAGAAGCCACTTACTTGCCCCGGAGGTCATTCACACCAGGACCGTGTGGCTGCAGCTGGACCTTGCCCACTGGGATCTAGAGGTCTGGCTGACTCCCCCAAGCCCACTGTGGGTAAGGCAGTCGCCTTCCCTCCCGGGCCTCAGCTTCCCCGTGTGTGAAATGGACTCAGAGCTCCCTCCTGAAGTTACAGCGAGGCTCAGCCAGCTGGCGGGCCTGCAAGTGCTTTCACACTGAGGCGGGCGG